GAAGTTATTACGGCCCGGACCTGCCGTCCGGTGAGCCGGGGTTTCGCGTTTGTCTAGAGGAAGTCGGGGAGCGAAGGGTGGCCGCGCTGGCCTGGACCGAGGCACGGGAGTGGGCGCAGTATCCGGGTCTCCGGGTGGGAGCGGCGGCCCGGTCGTGCCTGGAGAGGGCCGTCGGGGTGCCGAGCCCGGGCTGTGGCCTTGCCAGCTCTGACGCGCTGGGCCTGAGTGCCGCCGTTCCCTTAACAACGCGCGCGGCGCCACCTTCTCGCATTTCTATTTTCCGCAGTAGCATGGGGCGCAAGTTGGACCCTACGAAGGAGAAGCGCGGGCCTGGCCGAAAGGCCCGCAAACAGAAGGGCGCCGAGACAGAGCTCGCCAGGTTCCTGCCTGCAGGTGAGGCGCGGTCGGGGCCCCTGCTCCCCCAGCTGCTGCTTGACTCTGTATTGTAAACCCCCGGCCTTTGGTCTCTGTGTTCTCCTTCTGTTCCAGTGGAATCGTCTCTGTATGAGTTACTAGGAAATAAGTACAAACGAAACAGCTATTGTCGTTACCGTTTAGAATGTAGGGAAGATGTGACAGGGACACAAGTACCCATGCAAGGAGAGGCGCGGTTTAACGTTGTGAGAGTTCAGAGGAAAGGGGATCACAGGCAGAATTTGAAAAGATTTTGCTAAGCTGGGTTTTGAATAATGAGTTACATTTAGCAAGTGGAGGTAGGGGAGGGGGCAGGCGAATCACTGAACCGCCTTTTGGAAGAGATGGAGATGGGAGAGTACGGATCTGGTTCCCACATGGCGAGTGGTCAGTCTATTGCATCAAATACTGGTGGGAGAGAAGTCTGGGTAGGGAATTTGTGTTGGATGTTGAATAAAAGTTGTAGGTTATTGGGCATTAGCGAGTCCTAGGCACTGTACGTATTTTTGGGGGGCGCATGATATCACTTTATCCTCCTAGAGTCCTGTGAGAGAAGTACTGTTACAGAAATGGATGCTGACAGATTAATCCACATAGTTATTAAGTGACAGGGCTGAAACTTAAACTTTTTATTTCTTGGTGAATGTATGAAAAACAGTAGTAGCGAAGTTAAAATATACTGCAGTTGGTAACTGCTTAAATTGAGGGTAAGGGAAAAGGCAGAAGAAGAGATAAGTCTTGAGTCCGTGTTGCTATCAGACTGGTGATGGTTTTATTGAAGTCTGGAAGGAAGCCCAGTTGGATTTCATTGTTGAACAACGAGAGGAGTGCTTCGTCTCTTTACGTCTTTTATCCTCCTCCTGCTAAAGTACTGTGGAGTGAGTTACAATCTACTACTATAATTATTGTACTAATTCTCTTCCAACTTTTTTTTTTTGGCAACTGGCTGGTATGGCCATCTGAACCGTTGACCTTGGTGTTATCAGCACCATGCTCTTCCCAGTGAGCTAAAAGGCCAGCCCCTCTACCCATTCTTTTTTTTTTTTTTTTTTGTCTTTTTTCCGTGTCCGGCAACGGATTGCAACCCTCAGTGTCACGCCCGTACCGGACCGGGACTGGCAACGGGATCGCAACCCTTGGTGTTGCCCCCGCTCCTCGCTCAGCCAGTGAGCTGCCGGTCTGTATGTGGGATCCGAACCCTCGGCGGGAGCGCCACCGCGCTTCCCAAGCAGCACACTGCCGGGCTGGCCCCCTCTACCCATTCTTATTTCTGCTCCCATTTCTCTTTTTTATTCCCCCTGTAACATCCTATTCTGCCTTCCCTTAAAATTTTTTCTTTTTTACAGCTGGCGAAAATTCCAAGAGGCTGTCTAGTCGTGCTAGAAAGAGGTGAGTGTGGGTGTCCAGACTTAAATATGTTAAGTGGGTACTGCTCATCTTCAGCCACATGGGATAGGTTGATGGGGGAGAGGGTTAGTTGTGCATTCTCACATTTTCCCTGTGATGGCAGATGGCAGAGCCTGGAGGTATGCTCCCAGTTCCTCACTCTTTATATCTTTTCAGGGCAGCAAAGAGGAGGCTGGGGTCTGCTGAAACCCCTAAGACAAATAAGTCTTCTAAAGCCAAACCTTTGCCTGAAAAGCTATCAAAAGGTCAGTGAAAATAGGTGCTACGTGAGGAATCCTCTGGGTCCTGGGTAGGGAAGGACTTGCTGAGCATTTCTGGAATGAAAGGAACTAAGACAGGGCTGGCCCGTGGCTCACTTGGGAGAGTCCAGTGCCAAGGGTTGGGATCCTATATAGGGATGGCTGGTTAGCTCACTGGATGAGCATGGTGCTGACAACACCAAGCCAAGGGTTAAGATCCCCTTATGGTCATCTTAAAAAAAAAAAAAAAAAAAAAGGAACAAAGACATTCTTAGGGGGTAGAAAATTCAGGCTCTAGGGGTGTGTGGCTGCCATTAAGCCAGGATTCTTCAGACCCTATGGAATCTCTGCAGGAGCTGTCCAGACACCGGGTGAGAATGGAGCGCAGTCCTTATTTAATGCTGCTCGGGGCAAGAAGCGCCCAGCACCAACCCATAGCAGTGATGAGGAAGAGGAGGAGGAAGACTCTGAAGCAAATGGTGTGGTGAACCAGGGGGACTTCTGGGGCTCTGAGGACAGTGATGCTGATATGGTGGATGACTATGGAGCTGACTCCAACTCAGAGGATGATGGCGGAGGTGAAGAGGTGAGATTCATCTCTGGGTATTCAGAAAGGGGTCCTTGCTTTTTAGTTTCTTTCCATACTCTTGAGACTGCCCCGCAGTGACAAGGATAAGCCTGACTAGAGGAGAGGGTTACAAGACTCCATCACTGTTTTCCTACTGCGTTGCAGCCTCTCTCAGCACACAGGTGATTTTCAAAGAGCTGCAGGGTAGAGCATTTTAAAACAATGGGAATGCTTAGTGCTGGCTAGGGTGGGAAAGCGAACATTGGTCTGCTTCCCTGGTGGGAGTAGACGTGCATGCACATTTGTTTGTAAAGCAGGTGTTATCTGAGAACTTAAATAAGTCTCTTCCTTTTTCTTACATAAGCCACAGTGTTTTTTACAAAAAGTTTCTTCCTTTTGGTCTAGTAATTCTTTGTTTAGGAAGATGATCCAAAATGTAGGCAAAGATTTATTTACTGAGGAGCAAGAAGTAATTTATTACATAATTAGCATGTGAATATATTGTTAGAAAAAATAATGTAGAATAACAAGAGAAAGTCCCCATTTGTACCCCTTTCCCACAACCTTGTATCTACAGTTACTGTTTTCAGGGTTGCAGGCACTGTGAATTATAAAAATTCTGGAAATTTCCAAAATTATTCAATATGTTGAAGTAAGTCCTAAGTTAAGGCCCAGTGGGGGGGGAGTAGGGGTACATGAGTTATGGTTCATGCATATGATGAATTAACATTGGCAATTATGTCTGAAAATGCTTGTGTTCTAACTGAATTTTAAAAAGAAGGAAGCAAACTTGAAAATGTGTTGTGATTTGAACTGTGTGAAAAATAGAGAGTAATTTATAAAGTCTGGAAGAAAATATGACAAAACAGTGCCCAAGAGAAGTTTTTGTCCCTCTTTATTATGTACAGGTATTCATGTTTCAAATTTTTTTTTCTTAGTGGAAAAGGGAAATACATATAAAAGTAGAAAGAACAACATAATGATCCCTTTTAATCTATCAGTTTCAACAGGGATCAACATTGTGCCAATCTTACATTCATTTCCTCAGCTTCCATATTTCTTACTGAGAGCAAGTGTTACATTTATATGTAGCAAAAAAATAAGATGCAGGGATGGCGAGCACTACACAGGGTGATGGAAGGGCAGGCTTGCATTACCAGCCCTTGTCTCTTTTCAGTTGCTGCCCATTGAAAGAGCTGCTCAGAAGCAGAAGGCCCAGGAAGCTGCTGCTGGGTGAGTTTTGGTAACTGTTGGGATGGAGAATAGGCAGCAGCTGGGACGGGGGAGCTGTGAGGAAGGAGGTGTCTGTTTTGGACCTGTTTCTAGGGGCCAGTGGAGTGAGGAAGTGTCGCCAGACTCGGGCCCCACGAAGGAGCATGAGGCAGACGGGGGCCTGCAGATCAATGTGGATGAGGAGGAGCCGTTCGTGCTGCCCCCTGCTGGGGAGCTGGAGCAGGATATCCTTCCAGGGGCAGGGGCAGGGGCAGGGGCAGGAGCAGGAGGAAGGCGCTTGGGGGAGAGGGTGTCCAAGCCCTAGGACATCATGAAGCAATTCCTTAATAGCCCCACATGCCCATGCTGCAGACCTGCAACAAGTTCACAAGCGGATCCAGGATATAGTGGGAGTTCTGCGTGACTTTGGGACTCAGCGGGAAGAAGGTCGGTCTCGTTCTGAGTACCTGAATCGGCTTAAGAAGGATCTGACTGCTTATTACTCCTATGGAGACTTTCTGCTTGGCAAGCTCATGGACCTCTTCCCTCTGTCCGAGGTACTGGATTGCCCATCTTGATGCCTCTTCTGCTTTTCTTTTCTCACCTTCTTACGCTGTGTTAGGGAGGTGTGCAGCCCCCTGCTCTCTTGTCTGACTGAGCTCCTTGGCCAGACTGACTTATTCCTTGCTGTCTCCCTCCCCAGCTGGTGGAGTTCTTAGAAGCCAACGAGGTGCCTCGGCCTGTCACCCTCCGGACCAATACCTTGAAAACCCGACGCCGAGACCTTGCTCAGGTGAGAGATGGGTTTTGAAGTTTGCTCATCTCAGGGAGGGACCACCTTCTAGCCTCAGGGATTCCCCTGTCCTGCACTGACTGAGTGCGGTCTTAGGACCTAGGTGTGTCTTGTTAATAGCATCATCCCTGAAGGTAAACCTGGAGAGGCCTGGTGTCTCTCTCTGGTGGGCTAAGGGCCTAGGACCTCTGTGGAATGGGAAACATTCCTCCAACCTCTCCTTTTTATGATTGAGATGGGACATCTGCATCAGGATAAAAGTGCTGCTTTCCAAGGAAATTGGAGGAAGATCATCCAGAAGCTGGGGAAACTGATTCCTGACCCCAGAGAAAGATATACATGTACAAACCGTATTTTAAACTCATTTCCAAGAGGGTTCACAGACCCCAGGTTAAAGACCCCTGTTCTAAAGTCTAGTGTGGACCTGTCGTATATTGTGTATCTCATGATATGAAAATAACCCAATAATTATTTTTAATGTGTTGTAACCAGTAACATTAGATTTTAGGAAGCTGAGGGGCTGAATCTCTTGGAAAATCAGAATCCATTTTCAAGAAGTAAGACAGGAAGTGGCAGTCTGCTCCATTGGGATGGAGTTCAGACCTTGAGTTAGGAGCCTTTGGTTAAGAAAAAAGGGCACCATGGAATGAAATGGGACAGATAGAGACTCCTCAGTGAGTCTGTGGTGACTGTTCTGAGTAAGTGCTTTAGGAGCTGTGGTGCTGTGGACCTGTTTATAGACCATGTTTTCATGTCTTCCTCTGTTTTCTGGGTGGAGTTGCCTGTGAGGTTTTAAAAATCATCTTTCTTAACTTCAGGCTCTAATCAATCGTGGCGTTAACCTGGATCCCCTGGGAAAGTGGTCAAAGACTGGACTAGTGGTATATGATTCTTCAGTGCCCATTGGTAAGTGTCTCCTGCCCAGTAGCCCTTCTGCCCCTGTCCTTGTCCCAGCACGTCACAGGGTCGTCCTCCTCCACAGGTGCTACTCCTGAGTACCTGGCTGGGCACTACATGCTTCAGGGAGCCTCCAGTATGTTGCCCGTCATGGCCTTGGCACCCCAGGAACATGAGCGGATCCTGGATATGTGTTGTGCTCCTGGAGGAAAGACCAGCTACATGGGTATGAGAAGGGCAGGCAGGGTGGGCTTCATCAGGCTCTCTGCTTCTGAACGTGGACAATGTTGGTGACTTACGAGTGCTCATGGAACACAGTATACAGGCAGCTATGGGGAGCGTGGTGAGGAGCAGCTTCTCTAGTTAGCTGGGGTTGCAGTGTCAGCTGTGCCACTTATACCCATCTCCCTTAGGCAAGCATCTGATTCTCTTTTGTCATCCGTAATATGTGGTAGTAATAGTAGTTGGGTTGGTCACTGTATTATACTTGGGCTGTGAGGGTTGAGATAATGCTAGTAGAAGTCCTTGGCCCAGTGATCAGCACATATTAAGCAGTCATAAACATTTTATTAAGTTGTGATCACTTAAAAAAAAGTAATTTAGTCTGTAGGACCAGAAGGACATTCAGTAAAAATAGGAAAACCACATTAGAAGGCTTGCTCATCACCAGGGGCCAGTGCAGACTGGGTAGACTTACACAGCGGGCAGTGAGGAGAAGGGCTTGGTGGCAGTTAAGTTTGCCTTGAAGTGATGAGACGTCACCTGTGGCTTCCTGGGCTGGAGGGTGGGTAGCCAGTGCGGAAGCAAGCAGAGGAGCTAGCTGGTCAGTACCGTGGCCCTGCCTCCTTTTAGCCCAGCTGATGAAGAACACAGGTGTGATCCTTGCTAACGATGCCAACGCTGAGCGGCTCAGGAGTGTTGTGGGCAACCTGCACCGGTTGGGAGTCACCAATACCATCATCAGCCACTATGATGGGCGCCAGTTCCCCAAGGTGGGACTTCCCCTCTGAATGTCTCTTCTCAGGCTTCTTCTGACTTTCCGTCTCCCTTCCTGACATCAGAAGGTTTAGACTTGGCCCCTAGGAAATAAGTGGTGTGGTGCAGGTACAGAAAACATCTGACTAAATTACCCATTTTCCCCAGGTGGTGGGGGGCTTTGACCGAGTACTGCTGGATGCTCCCTGCAGTGGCACTGGGGTCATCTCCAAGGACCCAGCTGTGAAGACTAACAAGGTGAGGGGTTGGGTGGTGGGACCAGCTGAGAGGCCTTGGCTGGTCTTGTAGAGCTGGAACGTGAGGAAGTGGAGCACTGTGGGCATTCGGTAGCTTACCTCTCTCCTCCTGAGGCTGCCTTTTGAGATTGGGACGCCGCTGGGTCTCGTTTTGGGACAGGATGAGAAGGACATCCTGCGCTGTGCTCACCTTCAGAAGGAGTTGCTCCTGAGTGCTATTGACTCTGTCAGTGCCACCTCCAAGACAGGAGGCTACCTTGTCTACTGCACCTGCTCTATCATGGTGAGGCCTCTGCCATGGCAGAGCAGGGGAAGGCAGGGCTGGGAGGCTGTTTGCCCCTTGGAGTTCCCTTCAGCTCTAGCTCTGCTTTTTCCTTCCATCTTTGTCTTTCCCACATATCCAGGTGGAAGAGAATGAGTGGGTGGTAGACTATGCCCTGAAAAAGAGGAACGTGCGGCTGGTGCCCACAGGCCTAGACTTTGGCCAGGAAGGTTTTACCCGCTTTCGAGAAAGGCGCTTCCACCCCACTCTGCGTTCCACCCGACGCTTCTACCCTCACACACATAATATGGATGGTTTCTTTATTGCCAAGTTCAAGAAATTCTCCAATTCTATTCCCCAGTCCCAAACAGGTAAGTGAGCTGCTCTTTCTACCTTTCATCGCCATTTTTGCTCTCTGCCTTTCAAGAGACTTTATAATGTGACTGTAGAAAAGGAAAGGATTTACAAGGGTACTTCAAAAAGTTCGTGGAAAAACAGAATTTAAAAATAATACAAATCTTGGGCCAACCCCGTGGCTCACTCGGCTGAGCACAGCGCTGGGAGCGCAGCGGCACTGGGAGCTCCGAGGCCGCGGGTTCGGATCCTACATAGGGATGGCCGGTGCGCTCACTGGCTGAGCGCGGTGC